CAGAGGAAAAATCCAACCCCGCTGTAGGCGGGCTGTATTTTTCCACTGTACACATCTTGTAAGCTCACACCTGGGTTTAGCTCATGTGATTTTCCTCTGCTCTCCTGACCATCAGGTCACACACACACACACACACACACACACACACACACACACACACACACACACACACACACACACACACACATGTTCTTATCATAGTCTACTCCTTGCTCGGGTAGGCTGAGTTATCGCCGTCCTCACAATATCCTGCAAGCCTTTTCACTCCCCTTTCCCTGTGTGTTTTTGGAACCAGTCTCCTGTTATTGATTTCAATCGTTTTGCACTTCTGCTTGCCTAATTACAAGACACAAATACTCTGTTGCTGTGATATAAACACATTTCATTAACTCTCTAAGCTCTAGTCTACTAATTAGTCACACATTATTAGTTTAACTGAGGGTGTGACATTTTAGTCATATCTTACTCACATATTTCTTTATCAAGAACTCATTACAATTAGATGTTCTGGTGCCGCTCGGGCAGTTTAGGGTGTTAATTAAGGACCTAGTAGCTGAGGACTGTAAATGTTTTTCAGAAATGTGTTTTGTATTGATTGCTGTTTTGTTTTACATTGTATTGGTTGTTGTATTGTAATAAGACCCTGCCCGGCTGCTGGGGTTCAGAGGAATAGGTCGTCAAAGGGTGGTTCATGTAGTGGAGGTGAAACAATAGCATGTTGGCTAGAGTACATCAGTGACATCACACCTTCCCTGAGATCTTAAGCCAACTGTCGTTCACGGCATTGAGTTGCATGTGTCATTGCAGAAAGTTGTTAGTCTGGTTTTCTCTGTAAGAGAAAGAGAGGGGAACACCCTTTTCCATGGTGGAGTAGAGACAAAGGCAGACATTATAGATACAGGCAGACATACACTCCCACCAGTGTGGCTTCACCCACGCAACCAGATTATAGCCACACTGGGCTATTTTTAAGAACAAGGCTCTACATTTGCATTTCGTGTTAATTGTTCAACAATGGGAAAGGAATGATGGCCAGATGTCAGCCAACTGTCACTTCCTTGGAAAATGGTGACTAAGTTAATGAAACAAACATAAAACAGTATTTTTCCATCACACTACGAACATTAATAACAATCACCTCTGACGTTGTCGACTTCAACTGGTCCTTAGGGCGTAGTTCACATTCACCACGTTTGGAACAGCAAGTGCTGTTTGTAATGAGATCATTAGTTCAAAATTCCCTTTTGACATAGAGTTATTATTAAAGTGAAATATACAGATAGATATGTACAGTATGTTTTCCTTTGGTACATTGATCCAGATAAAGATATATGATCTGATTCCCGGCCAGCTGTCCCAGGCAAAACTCTAGTCTAGAATATAACTGGCTTACATGTTTTTAGATAACTGAGGCCACACATTAAAAAATGCAGCCCATTTCAGTTTGACAATCCTGTGATAAGGATATGGATCTCATAGCATAGGGGTCCAAAATGGGTCAACTTTGTCTATAAATGGTTTTTCATACAGGTCCAAAAATCACATTCACATGAACCATTTCTCTACACATTAAATGTTGTTAAAATGAAAAGGGGTTGTGTGGTAATGTGTCTCAGTGGAAGGGCTGCAGTCCCCTAAGCACACATTGCCAAGAATGGCATGGGATCAAATCCTAGCACTTTCCTGTTATTCTCCTTAAAGTCAAAACTGTCATTTTTTGCATTTGGAATGACCCTAAAGGCATCCCTACAGCAAACTAAACAGCAAGGAAGCTACTAAACAGAACAAGCTTTTCATTTTAATCACACCAGCTGGAAAACATCAATGACATAAAATGTTAATTCTAAATCAAATAGCATGCATCTTCTTCCTTATTTGCAAGTAAATCAGGAAGATGCCTTTGGCTATTACGTCACATTCCCTAACCTAACATAGCAGTTGTAAAATAAACACATTCCAAAACCGGTACTAGGAAGCTGTTGAAACACGTATCTGTCACCCACACACTCTCCTTTTAACCACAAAGTAATGGAAGTTATTCATTGACACAACATGTAGGCTACATTCACGCCCACATAAAAACACAATGTAAACACTTTTTCTTGCCACTGGTGCTGTGATCAGTAGGTGGAGGAAATCGGTTATTTGCTTGTGTCTCAGGAGCTGTCATCGAACAAAACATGAAATACATCGAGTTGCCATGTGTGAACATTTTCCTTACGAAACAGTCCAACGATTGACTTCTGTTTTCTATACCTAATTACCATAGTAGACCTATCTTAAAAAAATGTGATACTAACCTTTTTCCTCCTAGTATCAGAACCACTGATCAGAAATATTGATAAAATGTTTCACAGTGCAATAACATACAATTCAGTTAAACTCAGTAGCTCTTTTCCCACGGTCAAATACAATCTCAGTTGGTTTTGGGTACTGTAAAAACCTACCACCACAACCTGGACTCAGGGGTAGACATAACATAGTAAATGTAAATCAGGGACACTCCAATTAGTATGATATGTTACGTTTCGTAAGGTATGTATTAATTTGTGGATGTCCATCATCCATTTCGTATGATATGTTACGAATTTGCAAAGCGTATGATATGTTACGAATTCCAATTGGTTGTGGCTAATGTTAGCTAGGTTAGGGTTAAGTTTAGGCTCAGGAGTTAGGTTAAAGGGTTAAGGTTAGGGTTAGGGGAAGCTAATATGCTAAGTAGTTGCAAAGTAACCAAAAGTAGTAAGTAGTTGCTAATTAGCTAAAATGCTAAAGTTGTCCGTGATGAGATTCGAACACGCAACCGTTATATTCTACAAGACTCAATGGGTGTATATATAACTAATTTAAAAGTCAAAAAATGGATGTAGCAAACGCAGATTACCCGTTTTAGAGCTCAGGAAGTATATGAGGAGATTATCATGAAGAGGAGACCAGAGGGGTATACTACAAAGCAGAATCAAGGAGTTCGCCAGCTAACTTGCCTAAATATTCGGATATAACTTTAATTTCTTTTGAACGATAAGATTGAAATGGGCATAGTCTAATTGTTTCAACAAACAAAAACACATACCGAAGTTTAGCTGTTTTAATGAACCAGAAAATCTATATTTCTGGTTGCTTATCAAAGTTAGCTGGCTAACTCGTTGATCATGCTTTGAAATATACCCCTCAGCAGTGTGGGGAGACCAGTAGTTAGGTCAACCATATGGAGTGATTAATTATGTTTAAGATCAGAGGTGAAAGAGTAATCCATTTAACTGCAGTGTAGAATCATATTTCCATTACACACACTGTAACCACATCCAATGACTAAGAAATTGAAAACTTCCAGGGATGAGGACACTACTTTTTCAGGCCAGGATTCCCCCTTAGGATCCCACGCACAGGGATAGTTCAGTTGTCATCGATCCAACTTTCACTGCTTTACCTCAGGTTTCTCTTTTCATTCAAGGAAGAATCCCAAAGTAGAAATCCTGATAGTTTTTTCAGAAATTAATTACTTTATTCACAGAAAGGTCAATATAAAAGGTTTACTTGGTAACATATTTAAAGGAATAAGTAACCCAAATTACATGTTGGTGTCCTTACCCTGTAAGCAGTCTATGGACAAGGTAAGACTGCCTGCAGGGGAAGGAAACCAATATGCAATTTTGTAGGGCGGCAGGTAGCTTAGTGGTTAAGAGCGTTGTGCCAGTAACCGAAAGGTCGCTGGTTCTAATCCCCGAACCGACTAGGTGAAAAATCTGTCGATGTGCCCTTGAGCAAGGCACTTAACCCTAATTGCTCCTGTAAGTCGCTCTGGATAAGAGCGTCTGCTAAATGACTAATTATTTATTTATTTATTTATGTAATTTGGGTGAACTATCCCTTTTAGGAGCAGTTTTAACATAAAATCTATGAAATGGTGCCTCCAGACAGAATAACATAAAATCTATGAAGTGGTGCCTCCAGACAGAATAACATAAAACCTATGAAGTGGTGCCTCCAGACAGAATAACATAAAATCTATGAAATGGTGCCTCCAGACAGAATAACATAAAATCTATGAAGTGGTGCCTCCAGACAGAATAACATAAAATCTATGAAACGGTGCCTCCAGACAGAATAACATAAAACCTATGAAATGGTGCCTCCAGACAGAATAACATAAAATCTATGAAGTGGTGCCTCCAGACAGAATAACATAAAACCTATGAAGTGGTGCCTCCAGACAGAATAACATAAAACCTATGAAGTGGTGCCTCCAGACAGAATAACATAAAATCTATGAAGTGGTGCCTCCAGACAGAATAACATAAAACCTATGAAGTGGTGCCTCCAGACAGAATAACATAAAACCTATGAAGTGGTGCCTCCAGACAGAATAACATAAAACCTATGAAGTGGTGCCTCCAGACAGAATAACATACAGTAAAGGGAGTTTAATACCTCTCCCTAGGGCTACAGCCACACAGAGATTTTGTGTTAGAAAAATGCGAATTGAGCAAATGGGTTTCTATGGGAGTAATCCATTGTTAAGTGAAAAACGCACAGTATATCAACCTGTGTGCGTAAGCAACTCGTCTATAAATAATTGACTTGAGTTTAGAGGGACAAAAAAATACAATGATGAATGCCCATGCATTTTCATATGTTCCTGTATGGCTGTAGCCCAAGGGTCAAATCCTACCTGGACTCTTGCACAAAACTCATGCGTTAAAGAATTAGGCAAAAGTTTGAGTTGTGCATGCATCTCAAGTTAGGAATTGACCCCCACTCTAACATCATGTTATTTAATTTAACAACAATTATTAAACAACAATTTAATTTAACAAGGTCATTTTTGTCAGAAGGAAAGCCTTAACTAATACCTGCATGTTACAGGTGTATTGTATCCACAAGGATTTTAAAATGTGCCTTGGTCTTACTAAAAGCATGTAAATAAATAACAAAAAATCCACACAGACTGCATATTTTTGGTATAGTCACGTTCTCCTTGTCTAGAAGAGAAAAGCACCAATAAACATGGTGGTCTCTGCCGAACAGTCAATCAGTTCATAATTGTCTTCATCAATGGACACCATCAGGAGATCCCCTTCCTCCAGGGTGACCACCTGTCCTGTGTACATTGTCCTTCTCTCTCCTCTCCTATCATCTGGTATGCTATCCTTGACTTCCATGATAGGCCAATTATTTTCATAGCTATTGGAGTATTTCAGGACTTTCAGGCTAAGAAAATGGACCTCGCCAGATACCTTGTCCTTATCCGGCATTCGAAAGTTGACCCCCACGTAGACAAAGTATCGGCCTCCCTGAGGGACAACCAGAGCTTGCTTGTTCTCGTCATAGGTGAAATTCTGCATGTGCACCAAGCCGGTGTCCTGGTGTTCCCATTGGATGTAGTCTTTAGGCTACGGAGTTGCAGCTTGATGATGCTGGAGGTAGGAGAAGATGGAGAGGATCAGAGGAAATATATAAATGATCGTGATTCTGGAAATATATCCACTTGATATTCAAAATACAAAAATCCAACATTCCTGACAGCTGCTCTCACACAATATTACCACAGACTCACAGTGTGCACACTATAGCCTATCAGCGAACTAAGCAGGAAGTTTGATCAGGCATGTGAATAACACCATACCCATACACTAGGGATTTCTCAGTGATATCCAAAAGGCATGTGGTTCCTACAAGAGAATCATGAAGGCACATCTAGGCTACATGGGATAATAAAATTGTATAACAAGAATAATTGGTATAAATCCTCAAAACAATGGTAACACAGTGCAAACCTACACATCCGGTCCAATCACATGCAAGCCTGTGTGTGTGTGTGTATGTATATACACACACACACACACACACACACTACCGTTCAAAAGTTTGGGGTCACTTAGAAATGTCAAATAACATCAAATTGATCAGAAGTACAGTGTAGACGTTGTTCATGTTGTAAATGGCTATTGTAGCTGGAAACGGCTGATTTTTAATGGAATATCTACATAGGCGTACAGAGGCCCATTATCAGCAACCATCAGTCCTGTATTCCAATGGCACGTTGTGTTAGCTAATCCAAGTTCATCATTTTAAAAGGCTAATTGATCGTAAGAAAACCCTTTTGCAATTATGTTAGCATAGCTGAAAACTGTTGTGCTGATTAAAGAAGGAATTAAACTGGCCTTCCTGAGACGAGTTGAGTATCTGGAGCGTCAGCAATTGTAGGTTCGATTACAGGCTCAAAATGGCCAGAAACAAATAACTTTCTTCTGAAACTCATCAGTCTATTCTTGTTCTGAGAAATGAAGGCTATTCCATGCGAGAAATTGCCAAGAAACTGAAGATCTCGTACAACGCTGTGTACTACTCCTTTCACAGAACAGCGCAAACTGGCTCTAACCAGAATAGAAAGAGGAATGGGAGGCCCCGGTGCACAACTGCGCAAGAGGACAAATACATTAGAGTGTCTAGTTTGAGAAACAGACGCATCACAGGTCCCCAACTGGCAGCTTCATTAAATAGTACCAGCAAAACACCAGTCTCAACGTCAACAGTGAAGAGGCGACTTCGGGATGCTGACCTTCTTGGCAGAGTTGCAAAGAAAAAGCCATATCTCAGACTGGCCAATAAAAAGAAAAGATTAAGATGGGCAGACTGAGATATATGCTCCAGATACTCAACTAGTCTCAAGAAGGCCAGTTTTATTGCTTCTTTAATCAGCACAACAGTTTTCAGCTGTGATAACATAATTGCAAAAGGGTTTTCTAATGATCAATTAGCCTTTTGAAATGATAAACTTGGATTAGCAAACACAACGTGCCATTGGAACACAGGACTGATGGTTGCTGATAATGGGCCTCTGTATGCCTATGTATCTATTCCATAAAAAAATCTGCAGTTTCCAGCTACAATAGCCATTTACAACATTAACAATGTCTACACTGTATTTCTGATCAATTTGATGTTATTTTAATGGACCAAAAAAATTGCTTTTCTTTCGAAAACAACAACATTTCTAAGTGACCCCAAACTTTTGAACGGTAGTGTGTATATATACAAACTACCAGTCAAAAGTTTGGACACACCTACTCATTCAAGGGTTATTCTTTATTTTTACTATTTTTTACATTGTAGAATAATAGTGCAGACATCAATATGATTAAATAACACATATGGAATCATGTAGTAACTAAAAAAGTGTTAAACAAATCAAAATGTATTTGAGATTCTTCAAATAGCCACCCTTTGCCTTGATGACAGCTTTGCACATGCTTGGCATTCTCTCATCCAGCTTCATGAGGTAGTCACCTGGAATGCATTTCAATTAACAGGTGTGCCTTCTTAAAAGTTAATTTGTGGAATTTTTTCCTTCTTAATGTGTTTGAGCCATCAGTTGTGTTGTGACAAGGTAGGGGGGGTATACAGAAGATAGCCCTATTTGGTAAAATACCAAGTCCATATTATGGCAAGAACAGCTCAAATAAGCAAAGAGAAACGACAGTCCATCATTACTTTAAGACATGAAGGTCAGTCAATACGGAACATTTCAAGAACTTTGAAAGTTTCTTCAAGTGCAGTCACAAAAACCATCAAGAGCTATGATGAAATTGGCTCTCCTGAGGACCACCACAGGAATGGAAGACCCAGAGTTACCTCTGCTGCAGAGGATAAGTTCATTAGAGTTACCAGCCTCAGAAATTGCAGCCCAAATAAATGCTTCACAGAGTTCAAGTCACAGACACATCTCAACATCAACTGTTCAGAGGGGACTGTGTGAATCAGGCCTTCATGGTCGAATTGCTGCAAAGAAACCACTACTAAAGGACACCAATAAGAAGAAGAGATCTACTTGGGCCAAGAAACATGCGCAATGGACATTAGACCGGTGGAAATGTGTCCTTTGGTCTGGAGTCCAAATTTGAGATTTTTGGTTCCAAGCGCCATGTCTTTGTGAGACGCGGTGTGGGTGAACGGATGATCTCCGCATGTTTAGTTCCCAGCATGGAGGAGGTGGTGTTATGGTGTGGGGTGCTTTGCTGGTGACACTGTCTGTGATTTATTTAGAATTCAAGGCACACTTAACCAGCATGTTTGCCACAGCATTCTGCAGCGATGTGTCATCCCATCTGGTTTGGTTTTAGTGGGACTATCATTTGTTTTTCAACAGGACAATGACCCATGATTCCATATGTGTTACTTCATAGTTTTGATGTCTTCACTATTGTTCTACAATGTAGAAAATAGTAAAAATAAAGAAAAACCCTTGAATGAGTAGATGTGTCCAAACTTTTGACTGGTACTGTATACTTTTGACTGGTACTGTATATATATATATATATATATATATATCAGAATATAATAAAAACACGCTTTACTAAGACCTACTTGTCAGGTGAGCGTTTGGCTTCAGATTCTGTCCTTGACGATCTGGTAGGAAAAAGGGGATGCTTGCTGTAAGCTGCTGACAGACGCGCCTGTCTCTAGGTTTCATTCATAAAATCAAAGGAATGTACCATGGAAGACATATCTGTCACATTCGGTGAATACAGGATTGGACCAAGATGCAGCGTGGAATGCATACATGTTTATTAACGAAGTTAACACACGACAAAACAACAAAAGCAACGTAACGTGAAGCTCACAATGGCTACACACAAACAAGCCAAACAAGAGTCAAGATCCCACAACATAGGTAGGCAAAATGACTACCTAAGTATGATCCCCAATCAGAGACAACGATCGACAGCTGCCTGTGATTGGGAACCATACCCGGCCAACATAGATCTACAAACATAGAAATACACACCCTGACCAAACCAACTAAAGAAAACCTGTCTCTCAAGGCCAGGGTGTGACAGCAAAACCTAACTTAACAGGGGAGGGTCCGGGTGGGCATCTAGCCTCGGTGGCGGCTCTGGCTCTGGGCGTGACGTCCTCTCCCTTACTGCCTCCCCGTTGCACCCCTGGTCCGGTCTGGACCTCGGCGCGATGCTTCCCCTCTCAGTCCTCCCACGAAGCACCAAGCCCTGTCTGGAACCTGGTGTGGGAGACCCCGACCCTGGAGAGGGGCTGACGTCTGGTTCTGGAGTGGAGCCGCTGACCGGAGCTGAACTGGACCCCGGTGGAGCGGACTGCTCTGGCTCTGGACTGGAGCAGCTGACCGGGCCTGGACTAGCACCGGTAGAGCGGACTGCTCTGGCACTGGAGTGGAGCCGCTGACCGGAGCTGGATTGGACACCGGTGGAGTGGACTTCTCTGGCACCAGCCGTACCGGGCTGGGGACACACACCACTGGTCTGGTGCAAGGAACAGGCATGGGCCGCACCGGGCTGGGAACACGGACCACTGGTCTGCTGTGAGGACCAGGCACGGGCCGTGCCGGACTGGAGACACGCACCACTGGTTTGGTGCGAGGAGCAGGCACGGGGTGTACCAGGCTGGCGACACGCACCACTGGTTTGGTGCGAGGAGCAGGTACGGGCCGTACAGGACTGGATACACGCACCACTGGTTTGGTGCAGGGAGCAAGCACGGGCCGTACCGGACTGGAGACACGCACCACTGGTTTGGCGCGAGGAGCAGGTACGGGCCGTACCGGACTGGATACACGCACCACTGGTTTGGTGCGGGGAGCAGGTACGGGGCATACCGGACTGGATACACGCACCACTGGTTTGGTACGGGGAGCAGGTACGGGTCGTACCGGACTGGATACACGCACCACTGGTTTGGTGCGGGGAGCAGGTACGGGCCGTACCGGACTGGATACACGCACCACTGGTTTGGCGCGAGGAGCAGGTACGGGCCGTACCGGACTGGATACACGCACCACTGGTTTGGTGCGGGGAGCAGGTACGGGGCATACCGGACTGGATACACGCACCACTGGTTTGGTGCGGGGAGCAGGTACGGGCCGTACCGGACTGGATACACACACCACTGGTTTGGTACGGGGAGCAGGTACGGGGCGTACCGAGCTGGCGACACGCACCACTGGTTTGGTGCGGGGAGCAGGTACGGGGCATACCGGGCTGGCGACAGGCACCACTGGTTTGGTGCGGGGAGCAGGTACGGGCGGTACCGGACTGGATAAACGCACCACTGGTTTGGTGCAGGGAGCAAGCACAGGCCGTACCGGACTGGAGACACGCACTACTGGTTTGGTGCGAGGAGCAGGTACGGGGCGTACCGGTCTGGGGAGGCGCACTGGTAACCCAGTGCATAGAACTGGAGCAGGATGTACTGGACCTTGGAGGCGCACTGGGGGTCTGGAGTGTAAAGCTGGCACAACCCGTCCTGGCTGGATGCCGACTTTCGCACGGCACGTGCAGGGCACTGGCACAGGACGCACTGGGCTGTGAAGGCGCACTGACGACACAGTGCGTATCTCCGCATAACTTGGTTCCTCAATGAACACACGCTCCTTACAGCGAGTACGGGGAGTTGGCTCTGCTAAACCTGGCTCCGCCAGCCTCTGCTCTAAGGGCTGAGCTCTCTGCTGCTGGAAGGTTAACTCCTCTCTCAGCTCCTCCTGTTGCCTGGCTAGCTCCTCTCTCCGTGCATCCACTAATTCCTTCTCCCTTTGGGTCTCCTGCAGCGCCTCCTTCTGAAGTGAGAGCTCCTGCTCCCTCTTCTCTAACAGCCCCCGTAATGTGGTGGCCTCCTCTCTCATACTGCTGATCCGCAGGTCTTGGAGGACCTCTACAATAGCGGCCTCCTCCTCCACAGTCAGCCCTTTCACGGCCTCCTGCTGCTTCGTCGACCACCCTGTGTGCCCCCCTCCAAACATTTTTCTTGGGGCTGTCTCTCGGGCTTCATTCGTCGTCGGCACTGGTGGCGTCGCCGTTGAACCGGACTCCAGCCCTCCTCCATTACCTCACCGTAACGGACGGATTCCTCCTCTGTAATTTTCCCCCAACTGAGGAGGACATCTACCAATGTTGCTTCCCGCTGTGTCCAGGGTGTTTGCTCCTCCTGGGCACGCTGCTTGGTCCTTTGGGGGTGGGATCTTCTGTCACGTTCGGTGAATACAGGATTGGACCAAGGTGCAGCGTGGAATGCATACATGTTTATTAACGAAGTTAACACACGACAAAACAACAAAAGCAACGTAACGTGAAGCTCACAATGGCTACACACAAACAAGCCAAACAAGAGTCAAGATCCCACAACATAGGTAGGCAAAATGGCTACCTAAGTATGATCCCCAATCAGAGACAACGATCGACAGCTGCCTCTGATTGGGAACCACACCCGGCCAACATAGATCTACAAACATAGAATGTACACATAGAAATACACACCCTGACCAAACCAACTAAAGAAAACAGGTCTCTCAAGGCCAGGGCGTGACAATATCATACCAGCGAAATAGTTACATACCTATAGCTTGCTGTCTTGAGTATTCTGCATGTGTTAATGTATCCTACAAACACAAAGACAAGTTAACTATTAATGGTGACCCACAGAAGTTAAAGTTCCATTGAAATCCAATGCCAAAGCTCTCGGGCATCTGTGTGCCCCGTTAAAAACATTTGGATGTCCCATTGCTTACCTTCTCAATACAGTCTCTGATCACACGCTGCATCAAGAAAAATTCAGCTGCACAGCCCAGAACCAAGAATAACGTGACAAGACCCCAGCGACTCTCCTGTCGCTTCATTTCTTGACAGTGTTTGAGCAAAAGAAAACAGTCTCTTGCTGCGCCATTGAAATCACGGTGTCTTCAGGAATCTCGCGGTTCCTTGCGCACGTCTCCATATCAAACCACGACTACAAAGTCTAAAGTAACCTTATTTCTTCTTAATGATATACATTGAATGTATAGTTCCGCTACCACCTAGGCAACTTGGCTGTCAGTGCCGTTACCTGCATGTGTGCCCTGGGAAAATCCCCAAAGTCTTGCACTAACAGACTGATATGACATCTTTTTATAAAGTATTTGTTAATGTCTTTGATCTTATGAGCTGCATAAGGATTGGGAGGATGAGGACATTCCATGTATTTATTTATGTCAAGGTGGGTGTCAGAAGGTCTGCAGCGTGCCAAGATAGCTTGGGGGCCACTGGTGCTAATCTTAGAAGGAGTATGTGATGGAATATACTGACTAGGGTGCAACACTATACCATATATGGTGATACTATTGTTGTTGGGAGTGACACTCAATAATGGTTGGCAACTGTTGGATGGAATTAGCTTGCAAAGCCGTATATAAACGGAGAGATTTTGTATGCCTATCATTCAGATGACAATAGGATACGCTCGTACCGCTTGTCATGTGAATCCAGTACTGTAATATTAAATACTCTGAACCAACTCTCCATCTAAGTGTTTAACTACTCTCTTACATCCTGAAGTACTCGATACCAGAGAAACTCGTCATAACACAGACTATCCCTCATGCTGCTATAAATGCCCACTCTTAAATTCATAGACAGAGCTGTGGGTCCAAAGGTAGTATTTTATCATATGCAAATTAAAGCAGTTCAATGTAGACAAACGTATAATGACGCTCTTGTATCTTCTATTAATAATAGAGAGCTTCCTGACCTTTTGTTTTATTGCATGAAACTTCTCCCCGTCTATCTACAAAATACACAAGATTGTGAATAGGTCCGGAAAAATAGCCTTGCTGTGTGCCATTCAGCTGCGTCACATCGACCTAAGACTCCTGTGAAGAAAGGCAATGCCATAGCTAACCTGACCCTGTCAGCAGGATCTCACACCTATTTCGCTGCATATTACAACATAATACATTTAGGTGCAATCTCATTTGTGTAAAAAGCAGCAACAGACAATGTCCTAGATACAGTGCATTCGGAAAGTATTCAGACTTTTTCCACATTTTGTTATGTTACAGCCTTATTCTAAAATGAATAAAATAGTTTTTTCCCCCTCATTAATACACACACCATACCGCATAATGACAAAGCAAAAACAGGTTTTTAGACATTTTTGCAAATGTATTAAAAATAAACTGAAATATCACATTTACATAAGTATTCAGACCCTTTACTCAGTACTTTGTTGAACCATCTTTGGCACTCCTGTATTTGGGGAGTTTTTCCCATTCTTTTCTGCAGATCCTCTCAAGCTCTGTCAGGTTGGATGGGGAGCGTCGCTGCACAGCTATTTTCAGGTCTCTCCAGAGATGTTCGATCGGGTTCAAGTCCGGGCTCTGGCTGGGCCACTCAAGGTCATTCAGAGACTTGTCCTGAAGCCACTCCTGCATTGTCTTGGCTGTGTGCTTAGGGTCGATGTCCTGTTGGAAGGTGAACCTTCACCCCAGTCTGAGGTCCTGAGCGCTCTGGAGCAGGTTTTCATCAAGGATCTCTCTGTACTTCGCTCCGTTCATCTTTCCTTCGATCCTGACTACTCTCCCAGTCCCTGCCGCTGAAAAACATCCCTACATCATGATGCTGCCACCACCATGCTTCACCGTAGGGATGGTACCAGGTTTACTCCAGATGTGATGCTTGGCATTCAGGCCAAAGAGTTCAATTTTGGTTTCATCAGACCAGAGAATCTTGTCCAAATCATCCAAAGTATCTAAAATTGATTTGAAGCTCAAAGCCGCTTAAAGATCTGTTGAACATGATGCACGAAAAATGATAATATCGGTCCCATGACTTAAATGGTATTGCATGGATTGCCGTCATACCTTGTCCATAGACTGCTTACAGGTTGAGGAAAGCAATGTCATTTTGTAATTTGGGTGAACTATCCCTTTAAATACACACATCGAACTCACATGATCAGTTTAATTAGCCAATTAGCCGTCTTGACAATTACGGCAATTAGTCAGACGTGTACCGGTAGGTGCTTCCTGCACTCCCTACCCCGGTTGCACCATTCACCCACTTGAGTAGACCACCCCATCCAACAGTCATGGCCGCATGGTCTTGTTGCCCTGGATTCTTAGCTGGCATGTCACTCAGCTTCACCACAGCGCATTGTCCACCATGTCTCTGGGCTGCTTGAGCAGTCTCTCGTGAGGCACCTCAAAATGCTCCAGGCCGGTTCGGTCACACTGGTTCTCCCTCAAGACTAGCAGGGGAAGCTCAGTCTTCTGCCCCAGCCACTCCCAGGATCACCAATGGAGACATTAGGACCTGATTTGGGTACACACAAGAATGCAAGCACAACAGCCACACATACCAAAACAAAACTGGCCCCATACTTCAAAACCTCATTCAGCCGAAGCTACGCCAAATGTCACAGGGTTGAAAAGTGTCATGTTGGTTTGGATCTGGGTTGAGCAGGCAGAGTGAAGTAGAGAACAAACACAAAGGCAATTTTCAAAGATTGAATAAATATAAGTCATGGTTTCCATTAGTTTCAGAATGTACTTTACCTTATCTCAGTTACAGTGGCCATTATCTGGCTCAGGAACACATTTGAAACCCATGCAAGTTAAAAAATGAATCAACAAACAAATAAAATAAAAACTGAAACCACAATGGCTGCGTTTCAAACACATAAAAGACACACCCTCCTCCACTTATGAACTTGGGGGAATCCCCGCGGCAATCTTTGCCGTTGGTCCAAACAATTAGCCAAGCAAGGGAAGTTGGCAACGTAAGCCCCTCGTTTGTGATCGAGTGTACAATTCTGTTCACTCCGGGGCCTGAAACGCCCCATAATTCAACTTGCGATGTACATCCGCTAAGAAGAGTCAGCTAACTCAAATGACTACTCATAATCTCCATTATGTCTATTTAAAGTAAATAGGCTATTAATGCCTGTCCAGCTAGGAACAGGTGAATAGATTACCTAATTTAATAAAACTATACAACCTTTATTGTTACCAAATCTCTGATTAAAACACTAAAACACCCTGGTTCTAAAGGTAGAGAGCAAAATAACGTTGCTATGAGCAGCACTGCAGATATTGAGATGAGTGAGAAACAAGACTGCTTTCACACAGTCACACACAGTATCTGTGCATGTGCAAGGGTTCGCTTCACGCTGTCACAGTGTGGTAGCCAGCGTACCAAAACACCAGAGAAGTTGAGCCTCGCACTTCAACGCTCTTAGTTGTTACAGAAATTGACCCACTATGCTGTTTACTTTCTGCATCTAAGTCATATCGCTGAGTCTACCTTAAAAGTAGTCTCAAAAACACCCTCCACAGAATAATGGTATAGACCAGAGGACAGCAATTCTCTGTCATGCAAAACCCTGTCATGTGATATAAATAGGCCCAGTGCAGTCAAAAATTAGATTTTCCCGTGTTTTACATATATTTCCACACTATGAGGTTGAAATAATACTGTGAATTGTGAATATTATGATAATGCACTTTTAGTGTAACAGCTGTTTGAAAAGACTGCCTGAGATTTCAGCCTGTTTTGGTGGGGTGGAGTTTTCGCCTGCCTGGTGACATCAACAGGCAGTCAATTATTTAAGAGACCAATAAGAAAGGGAGCTCCAAATCTTTTCAGTTTTCATCTAAGCAGTCAGACCACTCCTTGACAGTCCTAGCAAAATTCTTGCTTGAAAAATTGCTCTTCGCTAAGAATACATTTTTGTTTCTTTTTTCCCATTTAAATTAAAAACAATCACAGTAAGGTACCTAATTGTTACCTAGAAATGATTTGATATTGAGATAAAAACGGTTGCATTGGACCTTTTAAGCTCCGTTATCGGCATTTGGTGAGACCTTGTGTTCCCTGGTGGACTTCGTATTTTATGTCTGCTCTCATCCTGGCTGGAACGACAACAGCAGTGTCTCAAGTTAACGGTAGCTTTACTCAGCCATTGTTGTGGTAGTCTTGGTTACAGCGATAAGTGCACATGCGTACAACGATAACTAAACTTAACACATTCATGTCACATGACAACACTATCGTTCGATTGCAGGAGAAACGAGAGAACATTTATACAAGAGAATTCCCACATACAGGAGAATTCCCACATACAGGAGAATTCCCACATACAGGAGAATTCCCACATACAGGAGAATTCCCACTAAGCCAGAACATTAACGTTTGTACCAGGAGAGGGTGCACACTTTTTACTCTCATGTGTATTACTCAGCACCAGTATATCTTACAAGACACGTTTCAACATTAATAGAAAGACCAAGGTATTGGGTTGAAATTGGGACTATTTTTATCCTCATACATTGCCTTTGGAAAGTATTCAGACCCCTTGACCTTTTCCACACTTTGTTACGTTACAGCCTTATTCTAAAATGGAAAAAATATTTATTTTACACACAATCTACACACAATACCCAATAATGACAAAACGAAAACAGGTTTTTAGAAATGTTTGTACATTTATTAAAAAGAAAAAAACAGAAATACCTTATTTACATAAGTATTCAGACCCTTTGCTATGAGACTCGAAATTGAGCTCAGGTGAATCCTGTTTCAATTGATCATCCTTGAGAGGTTTCTACAACTTGATTGGAGTCCACCTGTGGTAAATTCAATAGATTGGATATGATTTGGAAAGGCACACACCTGTCTATATAAGGTCCCACAGTTGACAGTGCATGTCAGAGCAAAAACCAAGCCGTGAGGTCGAAGGAATTGTCCGTAGAGCTCCGAGACAGGATTGTGTCGAGGCACAGATCTGGGGAAGGGTACAAAAAAATTCTGCAGCATTGAAGGTCCCCAAGAACACAGTGGGCTCCATCATTCTTAAAAAGAAGAAGTTTTGAACCATCAAGAC